GACTGACCACCACCTGACCAAACAAAAAGAGGCTCAGAGATGATCCTTTCTAATATATTTCCTTGGTATGAAACCACACTGCTGCTCCACAACTCTCCCAGATCTTTATCAAGTAGCTCAATTTCCCTGTAGTTGCTGCAGTCAGTAGGAACTACCTCATTCTTAAAAACCCATTTCCTTAACACCAACCTATAATATTCAGAGTTGTAACAACTACAGGGAATATAAATCTGCTACAATTATACAGGAGGTGACTGTAAGCAGCAGTATGGTTTCATGCCAAAAAGAGCATTACAGACACCATCTTTGCTTGAAGATGCTGATGAAAGAGCTGTGTCAGCTCAAAGCCCTGGCAGGTAGTGACGGTGAGGCTGCAAGAAGCAGGACTTCAGGTCCTTTTGGTGAGGTAAGGAAGATAAGTTGCAGGACTGATTCAACCCCTGCAGCTGGGACTTTTACTCACTCTGTCCAGGAAGCACTGGAAGAACCACTTCATGGTGTACAGACTGGTAAACACCTCCTGGTTGTCCTGTAGCAACAAAAAATCTGCTCAGTGTTTCAAGTAGTTTGACTTTCTTCTTCAGTCATGCCCAACTATAAAAGGATCATGAAGGCAGCAGTGTTGTGTCTCACCAGGTGCTGTTTCAGTTTGGGCATCATCTTCTTCAAGATTCTGTCGTGGTGCTCCTGAAAACGCATCAACTTWGGGAATCCAGGGACAAAAAACCCTGAGACAGAAGACATCATCAGCATGTAACTTTCAAACTGAAATAAAGTCTTAGAAATCTCTATCAGACATTGAATTGGCTGAAGTTACTTTTAGCACAGCTGGAAAACCTCAGCAGCACCCCAAATAAACAACTAATTGCTGYCTCCCCTGTTGTTTTACAGTGAACACTGTGTGAACAAGATCAGATAAGTCGCTCACCATGCATGGCGTGTTTCTGCCCAGACAGTAGTTTGACCAGAGCCCAGAAGGCGTCTTCTTCATTCATGTAGATCAGCAGCAGAGCTGTGATTTGACTCATGCCCTGACAATAACCCACCTCCTGCAAACAGTCAGTAATTAGACCCTTCTTCCAAGATGTCTAATACGTTTTATCAAACCACAGCTTAAATACAAAGTGCTCCTGACTCACCGTGTTGTACATAGAGTAGGCTGTGAGGACATGGAATAGTGCCTGCTGCCTGAAAACACAACAACATTAATTAAAGTTCAGTTTGAACAACCTAATATGATGAAYRMATTTTATTCCTCAAGCAGRATGAATCTAAACACTTTATCATATAAAGTTGCTCCACTCTAAATGTGTGCAAACACTCACTTAACATCATAGCGATGCATGAACATGATGTGGTCCCTGTAAGTTCTGTTCACATCCAGGTCRATCTGTCGGAYGTCAGGTGACACCACTCTGGCTCGAGCTTTCAGTTTCTAAACACAAAAGGGTTCATTGCTGAGAGTGAYGCCAYRACAACTTAATCCAAGTTTAAATTTTTACTTGGCAGACATTACTTCAGTAGCCAAACGATGTACAGTAGAGTTTTCATGGGGAATTTGTGCTCTTTTCTCTTTTTTTAAATAAAAAAGAGCACATATTAACTCTTTACTGTGCATCGTATGTCTAAAACAGTGGGGACAATTTTACAAATCCCCATTAGTTGTCAGTTGTAATTATCAAAATTAAAAGAAATAACCATTTGAAATATATCAGTCAGCGTGTCATGAATGAATATACTATACAAGTTTCACTTTATGAATGGAATTATTCAAATAAATCAACTTTTACATGATATTTTAATTCTATGAGCAGCACATGTATGAAGGCCTTTGCTTAAGACCTATGAATGGTTTGTTCTGAATTTCTTAGGAAGGATTCTTCAGAAGAACTTTGTGGAGATTTTTTTGTAAAAAGACTAGACTAGAGGAAATTATACTGCTTTCATAAAGGATAAATTAACACATCTCCTCCCTGCTCCTCAGGCAGAACTTCTCTTTATTTCCCAACCAAACTTGTTATTTTCCACATCGTTTGCTTTATGTGCCCAGCTCATCACACCTCCACCCCGGCCGAAGGCAGCGATGTATCGACCTCGCTGCAAAACTTTTCTAATGAGGTAAAAAGTTTGTCTCGCTGCATAACAAACTTGAAATGTTCCTGTGGGCAGAATCAAACTGCAGCTGTACACAAACACAATTAGATGTCTAAACTCTGAAATCAAATACAACCATGGCTTTTGATCTTTACGAGTCCTGTGTTGTAATTATTGCTGCTGAGCTGCAGACAGTTTAGAAAAACACAGAAGAAAAGCTGGAATGTGATCAGTACCTCATAAAAATCTTTCTTCTCCTCTTTTATTTTGGGAACGTCRAGCAGCAAGCACCACACCTCACCTCGGAGCTGCAAAGGAATGCCCTTATAAATCCTCCGAAACAGCTGGGGAAAAAAAACAAGTAGACAACGTTAGAGACCAGAAAAACCTTTCTGACACTTCATTGGACGTTTTACAAAATGACACAATAATTGTGTTCCAACATTACTATTAATACCATATCGTAATTGTCCAAAAAGACTAAAAATACCACATAATAGTAAGTCATCCAAAATGATAATAAATACAACATTCAAGTCATTGAAAATTGTCAAAACACCACATACAGTAACTCATTCAAATTCATAAAAAATTATAACAATATACTACATAAATCGTCCGAAATGTAAAAATACCATACAATAAAAAGTAATTTAAAATGTCAAAACATCACATCTGTAAGTCGTCCAAACTGACCAATAAATACCAGTTCAGTTTGGAGTCTGATCAATAGTCATCCAAAAATTCCAAACAAGTTGACCGAAATGACTAAAAGTACCACGCCGTCCAAAAACTCATCTGAAAGTGATCAATAACACCACATAAAGTAGTAAGTCATCCAAAATTATAAAAAATACCACCACATACGTAAGTTGTCCAAAATGACTTTAAATACTAATAGCAAAATATGTTATTTCAATGTTGAATTATAGTCAAAAAAGTTGATTTTTGGTTAAGGTCAATGACTGATGATGAATCACCCATCAATCATCCAAATCCAGTCAARTAACCAGTGYTGAAAATATGTTATTGAATCAATGTTGTTTCATGGTTGAATTCTAATTATTGAAATTCCAACATCTAATTGATGTTGAATCAACACTGATTATAGTATTAGTTGTGGGTGAAAACCTAACATTGTTTGTGACCGACTACTTTTTATATAATTTCAACATGGGTTCAGGATCATGTCTAATCATATTTCAATGTTGATTCACTCATATTTTGCTATCTGGTATTACAGTAAGTTGTCCAAAATGATTATAAATACCACACATTATAGTAATCRTCCAAAATGAGTCCAAATACCACATACAGTATTAAGAGTAAGAATTCCCATCCTATTATCTACTACATTATGAAAAATAATAATTTTGTATTCTTGGATGAAATTTGGGTCAACATTTAACAGCACCTGGAGCAACACATCTGTTAAAACTTCAGAATCAGCTTTATTATTCAAGCCCTTGTTGACATATCCTCCTGTATGTTTTCTTTTCTACATAAAACTTATGCAGAAAGGAAAATATACTTGTTGTAATAATGTTCAATAAAGTTTTCTTTGAGACATTTACCAATTCATCACGACTGGGCTGCAGAAAAAAGTATCAACTGACAATCATTCCAAACATGTTGGAWGTGTTTCATCTGCACAGATTATGTAAGAAAATAAAGACTTTGCACTAATGTTAGAAACTTTAGCACAGTTTCCCTCYCTTCAGCCACAAACCTCAGAGGTTAAATGAGCATCTGGCAGCTGCCAGAAGTTCTAACAGAACACAGAGGGCTTCCCTCGGTGTGTCAGAGATGTYAGAGGTACAAACTGTGAGCACCTGARCAGACTCTCCCTGAGCAGAAGCAAAGGCCTTTGGAARGTGAAGCAGGATCATCTGRCTGGATGAGCTCCAGCTGAGACWGGGAGCAGAAAGAGGGAGAAGTGCGCTGCGTGCAGCCTGCTGCAGGCAGATCTAGAGTCCACACAGAGGTGGAGAACCAGTTAGACTACGGGTGAAGATTAAATCCTTACAGCCAAACTGCTGGAACAGCAGAGCTAATCACAGCTGCTAATAAACYACAGTGGTGTGGAAAGGTTCTACAGCAGATATGTGAGGACTGTAAGATGAGGAATAACAGAGGGCAGGAAGTGTTAGGAGGCTGTAAGACAGGCTGAAACCAGATCCCAGATGACCAATTAAGAAGGAAAACAAATGTTTTAAGTCAGCACCTTTTAGACAAGGAGTTTGTGCTGAGTCACTAAAGCAGCATAAACAGGATTCATATAAACGCTTAAAACAACCCACAACAGAAATTCATGTTTAACAACAGATTTGTTCTTTTACAGAGAAAAAATATCAGWAATATTAATTGTTCTAAGGACCTCTCTGATGACAGGATCAGGTCTCTGGCAGCTGATCAAAGAATAGCTTCTGGATTTTTGTTGATTGTTTAAGGAATAATCTCAAACAAACCATGTGTGAGCAGCTACTAYCTCATCAAATTTAGCTCAACATCATGTAACAGTGGGAGTAAATTTGGTCTTTGATAAGGATGATATCCCCTTCACCTTTGGCTGATATAGAGCTCCAGTGTTAGGGAAGACACACCTGGCTTTGTTTRGACAAATAAACCTAAACAATTAATTACAAAGGAAAGATGTAGATTTCTTTAGTGATTTTCTTCAGTAAAATTTCCAGTTTAAAAAGATTCCCAGTCTTCCTGTTGGYGAAGCTTTCATTGTATTTGATTTCTAACCTGAACTCGTTTTGCTGAATCGTGTGAGATGAAGCAGCTCTGACTTCCAGAGGCGCCAATCATCAATCAGATCAGTCACCTTGCCACCACACCATATGTGTGTGTGTGTGTGTGTGTGTGTGTGTGTGTGTGTGTGTGTGTGTGAATGTTCAACACTCCATCAGCCTCCTACCACATCTGGGAGCCACTGGTTGCTGGAGCAATAGCCTTGTAATTAGGTTCTGATGAGCGAGTCAATCAGTACATCTGTTGGACTAATCATCCTTTAAGTGTGTGTGGTTTTGTACACACACTTGTGTCAACATGTACCCTGAATCTGTGAAGGTTTTTAGTTTATTTGCCTTCACATAATTAGAGGTAGCTTAATGTTTTAGAATCCATGGTGACTTAACTGAAAATGATTGGTAACACCGGCAACATCTTTGCAACTATTTTAGCAGAAAATCTGTCACAGAGCTGTTTAAATGTGTTTAAAGCAGATAAATGTTACTCTGATGACATGATGCTCTGTGTTGCTGCTTTTTATTTAATTAAATAAGAAAAAGTCTTGCTATATGCTAAAGACCGTTTATRTGATTTGTTGCACAGATGGGGGGAGTTAATGACTTGCAGTACATCTGCTTTTTGCTACTTTCCCACTGTGGGGTTAATGTTTTCAGCAGTTGGGAAGGAAACAAATGAAACAAGAKGAACCTAAAACATGAAGTGTTTCCTTTGACCTGATGACACGCTGCAGACAAAAAGCTGAGAATCATCCCAAACACCTACAACAGGTGTGAAAGAGCTCCAGGCTAACATCAGCCCCCACGTCTCTAAGTGTCCTMATGAGAGGAAGACTTAACCAAGGCTACTCCTCTTCATAAGCTGCAGACTGATGAAAAGGAGACGGCACATTTAAATAATGGTTCCAGTTTAACTTATCACTAAAACTATCCATCCATCAATCCATCCATTTTCTTCCGCCTATCCGAAGTCGGATCGCGGGGCAGTAGCTTCAGAAGGGAGGCCCAGACCTCCCTCTCCCCAGCCACTTCTTCCAGCTCCTCCAGGGGAACCCCAAGGCGTTCCCAGGCCAGCTAAGAGACATATTCCCTCCAGCGTGTCCTGGGTCTTCCTCGGGGCCTCCTCCCAGTGGGACGTGCCCGGAACACCTCACCAGGGAGGCGTCCAGGAGGCATCCTTACCAGATGCCCGAGCCACCTCAACTGGCTCCTCTCGACGTGGAGGAGCAGCGGCTCTACTCTGAGTCCCTCCCRGATGACCGAGCTTCTCACCCTATCTCTAAGGGAGAGCCCARCCACCCTGCGGAGGAAACCCATCACTAAAATTAATCTCTCATTATTATAMAAACATCTGGAAAAACATGGTAATATTTAGGGAAATTGATTTGTATGAATTTTAGGGAGTTTATTTGACAGAAACTTTGATCTTCTGGCATCAGACCTGTTTACTTAGATTCCAGAAAGTAAGATGGGGGCAGGGTCTATGCTGATTGGTCAAAATTGCAGGTCTGAGMACACTGGATTGGTTGAACTTGAGCTAATAGTTGCAATCAACTTCTAGTATTGTGGTATTATTTGCTGTGTGCATCTTATCATAAAGAATCCTGTGGTTCCCACATGTTCTGAAAATGGTAATAAACAGGATCTGTCAGTTATTATTTGCTCCAGTATAAACTGGGAACATTACAGTCGTGTCCAGTCCTGGTGGGCGACCATTCTGCATGTTTTACTTGTTTCTCTGCTCCAACACACCCAGCTCAGTGATTTAACTACCTCTTCAAGTTCTGYAGGGATCTGTCAGTCACCCAATGMTTTAAATAAGATGTGTTGGAGCAGAGAAACCTCTAATGCTGTGTTCACAGTAAATGCAAATTGGGCGTCAAAAATGCGTCCAACAATTCAAGTTGGATGATTGTGCACTTTGAGGTCAGATGCTCATTAAAATTGCTCGATGCGAGCGTCCAAGTCTCTGTTTCATGGAGGATTAAATAAARAAAGTGGCTTTGCTTTATTTACTGAGAGAACATTCCAATCACCAGATAATTCATAATTAATTTGTCAGATAATTCAGAGTGCGTTCGACCGTGTCCCAAGGGGGGCCTTGTTGGGGGTTCTCTGGGAGTATGGGGTACCGGGCCACTTGATACGGGCTGTCAGGTCCTTGTACGACCGGTGTCAGAGTCTGGT